TCAAAGTGCATCCGAAGCACTAATTAACTAAGCCTCATAACCGTCTGAGGAAGGGTAGTCCCCCCAGCCTCATGTGCTGATAAGGAAGCTCAGAGACAGAGAGGTTTGATTCATTTACTGAAAGTCACACACCACAGCGGCAAAGAACAGATCTTTTGTGGAAGGCAGGGGGTAGTAGGGTGGGAGCAGCAGAAAACATGGCCACTTAAGCTCTGACCTAAAAGCACTTTATAAAAAAAAAAAAATGGTCTTGAATCCACTGTGGAACTTGGCCCTGGCACCTATCATATATCTCCATAATTCCAGGGATGTTCAGTCTTCAGGGTGTTGGCTAACCACCTTATGAAGCCAGTTTATCTTTGCACCTGCTCTTAGAGTCAACTGAAAGGACTTTTAGATGCTCTATCTCTTGTGAGCTTTTTTTTTCAATATGCATTTAAATAATGTTGACCTTTTGAATGATGTTCAACATATATGCCTTTGTTCAACAAGACAGAAAATAACAAATGCTGGCAAGGTTGTGGAGAGATTGGGACTCTCATACACTGCTGGTGGGACTGTAAAATGGTACAACCATTGTGGAAAGCAGTATGGCGATTCCTTCAAAAGTTGGAAATACAAATACCATTTGACCCAGCCATCCCATTACTAGGTATATACCCTAAAGAAGTGAAAGCCATAACAAGAACACATGTATGCACGCCGATGTTCATCGCAGCACTATTTACAATAGCCAAAACTTGGAAACAACCTAGATGTCCAACAACTGAGAAATGGATAAGCAAACTTTGGTACATTCACACAATGGAATACTATGCAACGCTAAAGAATAATGTAGAATCTGCAAAACACCGCATAACGTGGATGAACTTGGAGGACATTATGCTGAGTGAAATAAGTCAGTCACAAAAGGACAAATATTGTATTAGTCCGTTATTGTAAAAGTTAAGGAAAGGTTTATATATTGGAGGACATTTTCTTTGTTGGTTACCAGGGGTGGGAGGGGAGGGAAGGGAATGCTGTTAGATAGATAGAGATAAATATTGATTTGGGTGAAGAGAAGGGCAATGTACCAAATGTGAGTGACCAATATGGCAGCATTGAGGATGAGAAAGACATAGAGAGTTACATGGGCAGTACAGACAACAAATATGAATCCTTTTGCATATACAGTACTGAGTTGTCAGTGAAAGCAAACATGGGTATAGGGACAGATAGATAAGTGAACAAGCTAAACAATTAGGTATGTCTAAATGGAGAGTGTATCCAAGATCATATATAGGGTTGGCAGACAATGGGCCTATAAGTTCATGTGAATGATCAGAATTCCCAGGTGTATAGTAGGAGCTCTGGTAGCATAGTGCCTAAGGCACTTGACTGCTAACCAGAAGGCTGGCGGTTCAAACCCACCAGCCACTCCTCGGAAGGAAGGTTGGGCATTCCTACTTCCGTAGTGATACTGCCTCGGAAACCCAAGGAGTGGTCGCTGTGAGTCGGGGCCGACTCGATGGCAAATAACAACAACAACAACAATAGTAGAGCTGACAAGGGGCAAGGTTATGGTCATTGCTTGGTCACAGCCAGCTACCCAGAGGGACCAAGTAGTTGATCCTGCAGGCTTGGGACCATAGTCGCAGGGGACATCAAGCTCAATTGGCATAACATACTATACAAAACATTGTTCCACCTACTACTTTGGCGAGTAGCGACTGGGACCTTAAAAGCTAGGAAGCTGCCATCTAGATGCAACAACGGGTCTCTCCTCATCAAGAAGAAAGAAGAAAACCAAAATTAATGGAAACAATCAGTCCTAGTGACTGGTACACCATCTGATCTGCAACCTATACAACTATGAGACCAGAAGAACTAGATGGTGCCCGGCTACCACTGCCATCCACTTGGAAGGGATGTAGGAGATCCTGCATAAAGAGGGAGAACAATGTGGAACAAAACTCAAAATCATTTGGAGGCAAAAAAAAAAAAAAAGAAGGTGGGGACCAGGTTTGCTGGTCCAATAGAGCCTGGTGTAACCACTGAGACTATGGCCCCTAGCTGCCCTTCAGGTCTGGAATTGAACCCACAACTGTGGTTTCCAGCCAAACAAAGTACAGGCATGTGAGTTAAACATTTACCTCAAGTAGACACACGCCCTGGAGAGAACAATCATGGGAGAAGGAAGGGCTGCTTATGCACAGGGAGATAGCTCAGGGTGCAGCAGAGTATGAAGGGATGGACACTGGGAGGAGGTAACTGTGGGGAGGAAGTGGGAGGGGAGCTGCTGCATTGTAAATTTTGGTCAATGACATGAGACAAAGTATATGTGAACTGCTGTATGAAAAGTGAATTTACTCTGTAAATCTTCACCCAAATCCTAATTTAAAAAAAAACAAAAACAAAAACATATATGCCTTTGGCAAAAGAGAACAGAAGGGAAAAGTATCGTAACTGAAAATATAGACAGTAGTCCAAAGCAACATGTGTGTGATCGGGGTGTCCCTCAGCTTTTGGCTGGGTGCACCTGAGATGCTCTGCATTTAGGCAGTGAAGCTGAACTTGGAGAGTACACAGCAGAGTGTATGTATTCGCAGGCATGCACAAGTGTGCAACAGGAGCACACCCTAAAGCTACAAAGGTGGTTTCTCATTTGTCTTCTGCTCAGAGCCCCCTCCACACTGTGGAGATATACTTGTGGCACTCCAGCTTCCTTTTGCCAGTAGCCTTGAGGAGAAAGCCCCCTCTGAAAGGGCAGAGGCCTGAGGGTACCTCTCCCAAAAGAGTACTGGCCCAAGAGGGCCACAGCTGCTTGGCCAGGGAAGAGGGAGGTGAGCCTGATTATTGCTCACTGCTCAGTGTGGGTCTGTCCGGGAAATGCTTGCTCTGCTGTTGACACAGGCTGTTGTTGTTATGTGCTGTCAAGTCAGACCTGACTCATAGCACAGGCAGGGAGTGATAAAGGCATTAGAAGAGAAGGTTTCACACCTCCAGCAATCTATTCTCATAGTCAGGTCCTCTGGTGGGTCCCGCCAGTCACATGAAACCTCCTTTGCCCACAGAAAGCCTTGGGGAAGGGTGGTAGTGCCAGTCTGCTGTGGGCAAGGCCTTCTGCTGGTATACAGTCTAACTCTGCCACTCTCACTTAAGGTGCAGGACCTCAGTGATTGGTACTGCTTAAGGAGGCAGAATTATGAGGCCTGACTGAGATGGAAAGAGCAAAATCCACTTCTCATCTTCCTTGACAATTTAGAAGGGAAGTGCTTTCAAAAGAGCTACTTTTGATAAATCAAGGAATGGTCATGAGGATTGTTAGGCAGGCTTCACCCAGGAAAACAGTGCAGCCTTCATTACCCAGGCCCGCCACAGGAAGCTGGTGCCTTGGGAAGTTAGTCTGCCAGAAATCCACAGTGCTGCCACACAACCTTGCCTTTCTCATGTTCTGCAAGGGACTGAGAGGCAGAGACCAAGAAGATTCACGATCTGGGATGGGAAGCCCGAGGTACAGTGGCAGGTGTACCTTCCAAACCAAACCACTGGCCCTGGGTGGTGGCCCCTCTAGGGCCCAGAAGACTAGGAGCTGTGCCTCAAAAAGCATTTCCCTTTGCTTTAGAAACCAATTCAGACTCTTCTAGAAACCTGCAATTTAAGAACTTTGACAGGGAGGGCCCCAGTGATGTAATGAGTGGTGGGCCACAACCTCAGAGGCAAAGCTGTCCCAACAAGCCCTGGAGGGCATCTGGACCACAACTCAGAGTTCTCAGAGGAGTTTTCCTTCTAAGAGCTCCTTTGATCCCTAGCACCTTGAGATGCTGCACAGGGGAATATGATGTCCACGCCACAGCGTAGAGGCTGGGCTCCGAGTGGGGGTTAACTGATGCATGATTGCTCAGCTGATTAGCAGCCAGGCCAGGACCCTAGGTCTGATCCCTCAAGCCAGAGCTTGATGCTGTTCTGACAGTCCAGACGTGGTAGACTATTTACTGGTATTAGGGGTGTGCTGAAAATACCATGATATAAGCTTTTGTGGAAGACCAAAGAGTCAATGCTTTTGAGTTGTGGTGTTGGCAAAGAATGCTGAATACCATGCTAAAAGAACTAACAACTCTGTCCTGGAGGAAGTGCAGCCACAATGCTCCTTGGAAGTGAGAATGGCCAGACTTTGTCTCACCTACTTTGGTCATGTTTTAAGAAGGGACCATTCCCTGGAGAAGGATATCATGTTTGGTAAAGTGGAGGGTCAACAAAAAAGGGGAAGGCCCTCAATGAAATAGATTGACACAGTGGCTATAATGATGGGCTCAGCTATGGCAAGGATCGTAGGGCTGACACAGGACCAGGCAGTGTTTCATTCTGCTGTACACAGGGTCACTATGAGTTGGAAACAACTTGATGGCACCTAACAACAACAACAACAGGAGTGTGCAACCAGGTAGGTGGGGTGACTAGGGTTGCTACTGTGCCCCATGTGCCCTATCAGCTGTTAAAAGACTCATTCTTCTAGTAGTAGCCTCTGGCTGTATATCTGTCTTAGGGGCAACTGTGTGTTGCTCTTAAAGAATTCTGGGACCTTCTGGGGATACTTCAGGGATAGGAGGTGGGGCAGTGGCCCAAACCTGTTTCATTATCACATAATTGCTCATTCAATTTCACCAGGTCCATTTATCTCTTTAGTAGGCCATCAGGGTCACCTAGGGCAGTAGGACAGAAGGATAGAGAAAGAGCAAGCAGGTTTTATTGAGGTGAAGGATGCATGGGAATGAAAAGGTAAGGGGCAGTTTTTTATTGTTATCGTGTTACAATTAACTCAGATTCCTATCTCACTGCATGTCTGGAAATGACCCTCATCATTTTTTAATGTTTGCATTTGTCCTATTTCATGTTTCTGGTCTACTCAACTAAGGCAGGTGCATTAATGCAGCCTCAGTAGGCCCTGCCCAGCATCAGCACTCCACAGTTATGGTGCAAATATGTGAAGTGTTACATCTGTGACTGAAGTGTGGCCTTACCTGCCGCTACCAATTGATGGAAACGCAATGGATTTCAGCTTCTTATCATCTGCCAGAGCCAAGCAGTTCTTCACTGTCTTTTCCAGAAGCTCCTCACACTTGTCCACACCCCAGACTGGACTGTTACAGTGGATCACAAACTTGGCGGGCAAGCCATGACCTGCACTGACGGCGGCTGGGGAAGACAAGACAGGAACAGTGAGTTGTATCTGTCTATAAGGCACATAGGCACAAGATACCAAACACATGTTCCAGCTACAGCACATTTTCTTGGCCCTCCTATGGCCTGTGTCCAAGGGAGGAACCCAGCTGCCTGCTGTGCTGTGATCCCGACATGAGCTCTGAGGCTGGAACTGCTCATATGTTAGTCTTCCCACTCCAGGGACAGCCAAGCCAGGACCCACCCTTGGAAAGCTGGCATGTGGCTTACATCACCACAGGAATTTCAGTCAAGATTACAGAGTCCTCTCTCCTCAGAAAGCATGCTGGGTGCTCCCAGAAGGCAGGGTTATAACCACCTAATTGACTAAATGTGTCCAAATGCAAATACTTATAAGGCATCTATAAATCTCTCAGATACGATTCAGGATAAATGGTAACTCTTTTTAATGGGCAGCAAAGCAACCTGAGCAACATCTCTGCTGCCATCTTCTGCTCCCTGCTAAGGACTACCTTGACAGGCTGTGTGACTAACTGATTGTGTTTACTTTTGTTTTGACAGGATTCGATTTTGTATTTTGGATAGAACTGTTTCCTGGATGAAGAGCTGCTTTCTAGTTGTGTATCTCCATAGCAGACCCACCTTCCTCGGGTCATTCTCTTATCAGATCTAAAGACACCAGCCTTGGCCTGCCTACACACCAGGGAATGTCAGGTGCCAGCTCAGCATCTCCCAGAGCATGTTCCAAGGATCAAAAAAGAGCAATCTGGGCCCAGTGGGTTTGGTGAGTGCTATAACTACAGGAACACAGTATGTAAGAGCATGCTAAAGTCTCCCATACCACTGCTATAGGAAAACACCCCCTCCCCTTTTTTTTTTTAAGTTTTTACTGTGATTTGGGTGCAAATTTACAAAGCAGATTCATTTTACTCAACAGTTCATGCACATTTGGTTTCATGGTCCCAACAATAAAAAGCTCTCCTCCCTGTGATGACGTCTCCCCTGTGTCCTTCTTATCTATGCATTCCTGTCTGTCCATCTTTCTCCCTGTGCAAATGCTGCCCTCTGATGTCTTGCAGTTGATTGATCTAAGGGATGCAGCTCCCTAGGGTAGGTGGGCATATCTCCCTGGAGTAGGGAAAACACCCCAATTGTTTTTGTTTGGTCAAGTGAAGTTTCCTAAACCTACCTGAACTACAAAATCAATTTTTTGAGGAACATCCATCAACATTTCTCAAGGGTACAGGTTGCTAAGGCCATCACTTGCAGATACTGAAGGAAGAGTGACTCGTGAGTGGTGTATTGTGGTGTCTCAGGGACAGCTCTGAACTGAGAGTTGTGAGTTTGAGTCCTGGCTCTGCTTACTGACTGGGTATGAGAACTCTGGGCTGCAGTGGTGATCTACAGAAACCTGGGAGTGGGGGGTTTAATTCACTGATCTGTCCATAGTAAAGTCACTGCTAAACTATGCATGGAAAAAGACTGGAAAGGAACATGGTAATAGTGGTTATCTTTGGGCAATGGTGTAGTGGTATAAAATAGCTCTTAAAATCAGGAAAAAAAAATATTAAAGCAAGCAAAAAGTATCTTAAATCAGGCTAAATATCTGATGGGTTTGCATAAGCTCTGACTCAGAACTTGATGGCAGCACTATAGCCACCTCTTGTCAGATCATGTGCCAAGTGACTGGACTTGGGCAGGATTTGATAAGCACTGATGGGAAAGGACCTCGAGCTGGCAAAGGGAAGTGCTGGGAAGGGCCTGAGGATAGAGGCCAGGAGCCTCTGGCTGTATATCTAATGCCCCACATGGCCTCCCTTGTACATTTGTAACTTTGGTGGATCGGGTAGAAGGACTTTTTATAATTAGTGGCTTTCCATCTTCCAACATGCCAGGCCCCTTGCAGGCAAAACTGGCAGAGAAGAGGTCAAACCCATAGATTAGTGAAGGGAATGCCACCCTCTTATTCCACTAGGCCCTGTGACTAGTCCCAGCTGGGAAGTGTGGTCACTGGAGAAAGAGGGACAGGGGCTGAGGTATCCTCTGTTCAGTTCATCCCCAGGCCCAGAGAGGACTTGTGTTATGGAGTAATGATTGATGTCTGTATTTAATTAAGATTCATTTTTTAAAAAAAAACAGGATTGGAAATGGGCATCGGGGATACTCTAATAAGAAGAGGAAACTAGAGCCCACAGACAGGAATCTCTTCACTTGGCTGGTCTGGTGAACTGGGCCTTAACCCACTGCTCTTAGCCTCTCAGGCCCTCAGGAGGTCCATTGCCCTGCAGGCCCTACTGACTACCTCAAATTCCCCAAGTCAGCCTTGGATTAGTCAGTAAGCATTACCTTATCTCCAATTCTCAGCAATAATTTACCCCACATCAGACTCCAAGTCAGGTTTTTTCCTCAGGAAAGGTGTAAATGGCAAATGAGAAATGTGTATTTATATTTTTCCAATTAAAAACACAGATGGTGGAATGAAATGATTAACTTGCATCTCTCACCAGCAGTTTTGCAGATGGCTCACGTTCTCTACAATGTTATCACCACTAGCTATATAATGCTCAGCTCTTAGATTTGTCAACGTGGCTCCTGTAATTCCTTAAAATTTGAGGTTTAGACACCAAACATTTAGGAGCTATTGAAGTCATTAAAAAAAAGAAAATGGAAAAGGTGATTGTCCTGAACCTCAGCTCCCCATGGGATGGGAGTCTAGGTTGAATGACTGAGGGGCTTTTCCTTTGCCTCCATTGTGGACACACATTCGCCTTGCCTCTCATCTCTGACTTCGAAGCTATCTCATCCATTAGTTCCCTAATACTGCAAGTGCCACACCCAAATAAGCACAGCGGGTTCCCTGCCTCACCTCCAGCCACTTCCAAGGGCCCATTCTTTTTCCGGAGTTCCAGAACAGCCTCCACAAACTCCTTGCCACCTTTCTTCTCCAGCGTGTTTCCTAGACAAGGACAGGGCTAGATCAGATGGCCATCCTTGTGTCTCTGGGCACACACAGACACTTCATAGCATGTCAAATGACTACGTACTTCAAATGATCTGACCAGCTAACTTTCCATAAGACTGCAAAACAGGAACTAAACCTTGGCTGAGTCAGGAAAATGAAATTTAGAGGGGATTTGTTGTCATCAGCCAGTTACCACTTGGTTGTGTTTCTGCTTTGCCTCACTGTCTCTGCTGCCCCTTATCTGGGCCCAATTCAGGGTGATTCTGGATGCACCATAGATGCAAGGGAGACAGGAGATGCCTGTTCTTTGCAAACATGCCTGTCCTGCGTGCATTTCACCGGCATGAGAAACCAGATGGTGCTAGCTTCGAAGGCTAATGCCTTCCCTAAGTTTTCTTCTCTTTTTCTCTCTCTGGGGAAAACCCCCAAATAAGGAGCCTTCAGAAGAAGCATACCATGCTCCCATCAAGCAGCTAGCACTGCGCTTGGCAGGAGGCCCAGAAAAGAGTATTCAGATGTGGCCACCTTGGACCAGCATTATTACCACGCTTAGTTCCTATTTTGCAGCTTTGGTGTCATATGTGAATACAAAAAAAAAAAAAAAAAACATGGCCTCAGACAGTGTGTTTCCTTAATTACACTACGATTCAGAATCATTTTAGGTAAAGGAGAGCAACGTCAGAAGCAGAGCTTAAAGATGAACTTGAATTATATAAAGGCTTAGGAAGAAAGATGTCTAAGAGCTCAAGACCAGATCCAAAAGAAAAAACCAGTGATGGTTGGGAGCACTGTTTTCTTGAATTGGGATACTAATTGCTAAATAACCAGTTTCCGCTATGAAAGCCAATTTCCCAATCAAGATTATCAATAGCTATAAGAAGTCTGAGTTAAATATCTCATGTGGGATGTTGTTGTGTTGTTGTTGTTATGTGATCAGCAATCAAAGTTAGTGACAACACCATCCATTAAAGTTTGGCCAGAATGGGGTCTAATCCTTCCTTAAGCTCTGATTCCTCAGTTTTTCATATTTTAAAGTACTTTTCCTCAGGAAAGGATAAAATACTCCCCTTAAGATTCACCATTTGTCTTGGAAAAAATCAGCCTGCATCTGACACAATTCGGACATGGGCCAATCAGGGTGCATCAGAATGCACCAACCCAAATTCTCTTTGGATTCATCCTCTAATTACTAGGATTTATGATCTTAAAGAAACCTGCCCCATTTGCATGTTTGTTCTGCATGGGTGATCCAACCTCAAGGAAGTGTCTAGAATGAGAAGCAAAGAGCCTGGGCACTGTCACAAATCAAAAAGAGCCAGGGCTAAATGCAGGGACTAGCCTTGTAAGCCATCCCACTGTAGGTGCATGACCAGCAGCCCACTGCCTGCAAGGAGCTCTCATATGTCAAAGAGAAGGCTGGGCTTTCAAGGTTATTAACTTTGGGTCCTTGAGGTGGGATCTGGCTTCCCTCCTTGTTGCCCAGACTGCCCTGATGCTCTCACCTATCTTAAAAAGTAGCAAAATAGGCTTTACGTGGTAGAGGTCTCCAAAGAGACACACTCCACTCACAGAGACTTCATCTGTTGCTGCTGCATGTTTCTGTTGAAGTTCAGCATCAGAGATGGCAGCAGAATGGGCCATGTGCTCGAGGAGCAGGCTCAGGCCAGGAAGTAGAGACTTTGAAGATACAACCCAGGTGAGACCCAAATACAGGTTCACCCAATATATCCATGCAGCTGAGGAAAAGGAATCTGGAGTCTCAATCAGCTAACTGGGTCCCATGTGTTTCTGCCCCAGCTACCACTGGTCTAGCCTTCTCTCTCAGCCCACTCTCAGTCTTGACGGAGAGGCAAACAAATATACACGTGCTGGACCATTTAAGATCCTCATTTTCTATCTTATCTACTCTTTGGTGAGAACTGGGAAATTTGGAAGGTAAAATAGAATCAGTACCATAGTAGTACGATCAAATCCTTTCTAAAATATGCATTATTTCTTAAGAAAAGGGGCTGATTTATAACTAAAGGTGTTTATCTTAGGAAGAGTGTTTACTTTAAAATTCTTACTTATAATTAAATATTGCTTAATTAGAAGTGAAACTTGCAAGTTAAGATACACTAAATACATGTTCCAAACTTAAAAATTCCACCCTAGATTGCAGGCAATCAACCCAGTCAGGACTCAACTCCTACACACACACATGTATGCACATGTTCATGTAGACACACGTGTACTTTTTAACAAGAAACAGGCCCATTTCAACTGGATTGTCAACACTCTTAATGTAAGACTTGCTTTTTAGGCTTAACTTCAGGGTTAATCATAAAGCAATTGGCTTATTTGCCCCCAAGCATAAACATGTGTTACTCCCATGAGAACAAGAACATTATTTCATGCTTAGAAAGCAGGCATAAGTATCAGTGTTCAAAACAGCCTGAGCGAAAATTTAGGCTTGGACAAATGTCAGGCTAAGCCTGTGGTCTATTTCACTGTTAGAAAGAACTTTTGGTCGGTCAAAGTTAATCACTGGGGCTAAGCATTCCTGCACTCGCATTCCTTCTTCCAGCAGTCTCAGGACTCAGGAATTCACACCAAATATGAGAAATGGAGCAATTATATCCTAACTTCCTTTTCCCCTTCCAACATATCCAAGTGGGCACTAGAACCAATTGAGACCATGTATGAATCTGGTTTGTCATTGTTTGGGCAATGTAAAAATACCTGGGTTCCGTATTGGTTTGGACTGGTTCACTAGGCAGGAAAAACACCAAGGTGGGCTTTGGAAGACCTGGGTTCTGGTCCGGGTGCAGTCTTTCCTCCTCTGCCAGTTGGGATGTCTGGACCTGCTGGGGTCTTTTCCAGCTCTGACAGTGTCATGAGTGATGTGTGGCATGACCTCAGGCAAGCTTTCAAACCCAGGTCACTTACATGCCAACAGAGCCTAATAATCTCTGTCCTGTGCTTGTTAGTGGGCTGAGGGCAAGCGTGTCAGAGGGAAGAGCATTAGCACCGTCATTATTTCAACGAGACCAGTTCAGGAAGGACTGGGCTCTTCTGGGTAAGTACAGTTGGCCCTGCTTGTTACTCCCAAGTGGTTCAAGCCCTGTCTCAAGGCCTCTAGCTCTACATCCTCGAATGGCTAATCCTGCTGAGCATGCGCCTTCCACGGACCACAGAAGGTCGGTGGCCTTTCTCCTCTCCCCGGACCTGGTGAGATACTTGTGCCCAGGAAGTTTCATAATTTCCATTTCACCAAATGTCCTGGATGGCAGGATGAGCCTAGGCTTTTTTTAGTCACTCCTGACTGAAAGGTAGACAATCCTTAGCTGTTTGTTTATTTTTCTCCAAATAAGTACCTCTCTCTCATCAAGTTTTCATTTGGTTCAGAAACTAAGCATCTTTCTCTAAAACTGCCTGATTTAGGGGCTCTTAAACTCCTCTGAAGTCTTGTGAATGGGGAGTTTACTTTAACTGCTGACGGCCTGACTGTATTCTGGCTGAGAAGCCTTGGTGAACTCTGACCTTCCATCCAGTTTGCCTCTCCATCTAGGTCCAAAATCCAAAATGCCCAGGAGAGTAATTAGCCCAAATGACAGTGGCAGAAGAAGACTTAAGCAGCAGTCTTGGCTAATGATACTTAACTGAGCTGGACAGGCACAGATGGCTGAGCTATTGCATACCTCATGTCCTGGACACTTTTGAAAATTCTCATATTCTTATCCTTCAAGATGACTTCACTTTTGCACTTATTAGAAATGCAACCATTCCTTTAGGGGCTGGTATTTGGATTAGTACTTAGAATGGTGCTCCAAAACCATCACATTTACTGTAAGAAATCATATATGCACATGATGGCAAGACCATCTAGTGAGCACAATCATGAACCAGGCACTAAACAAGGAATTCTGCTTACACTAGTCAATGTAACCCCCATTAATACCACTATTTTACAAGTAGGGCAATTGAGGCATCAGGGAGTTAAGTGACTTGCCCAGGCTCTATACTAGTAAATGGCAAGGCTAGGAGTCAAGCTCCTTCTGCCTAGCTCCAACCCTGTGCTCTTTCCCGTTACACCTGGACACCGTAGCTTTGTAGAAGCCCCTCAGAATATTCACTACTGTGCTGGCAGACCTGTAGCTATAGGACTTGGCATCCTGAGACTCTTTCTGCCTCGTCCACCATCTGCTATTGAAGTGTGCTAAAGGCCAATCAACAGTTCACTGTCAGTTGCCAGGGGAGAGGATACCTCACAGAATGAGGTGATTTTCATGCACTTAGAGTCTGAGCACCCCTGAGGGTGGAGAGCACTCTTAAAAGGGTTCCATGATACACCTGTGGCTTTCAGGCCATCTCTGATACGAGATGTGTGTGTAGGGCAGAGCCCTGTGTCCACACACCCTATGTGTGTCTGTTCCATAGAGGACACAGGTGTGGTCTTGGCTACCCCTGGCTGGTCTCACTGCATGCTCTTTGAGGCTGAAATCACCTGGGAACCCAGGCTCCCCCAAAGCTGTGCCTCGGGAAGAAAAGGAAGAAGCGATGTTGCTGAACCAGTTTCCAAACCAGATGTACCCGCTTGTGAGCTGCGTGATGCCTCCTGGCTGACAGCTAGCTCTATTTCTACATTCACAACCCAGGGACAGAGGACCTTGGGAAGGTCAGGACAGCTGGAAGTGTGAAATGAATGCAGCCTGCATAGCTGTCAAAGGATCAAGCTGTCTGCGGCGGCTGACTGACCATGCACACACACACTCAGCAGCACCCGGCTAGGCATTACCTACTTCACCACCGATGTAGAAGTCAGTGTTTGTCGGGTGAACGACAGCATCACTGTCGATCGAGGCAATGTCAGCCTGTACAACTTGCAACTATAACAGGTAAACAAATGTATATCAACTGTGTTGGACCGAGACCCACGCACAGGCACATTTACTAATGCCCCAATGGCAGGGCTGGCCTACCTGGTCGATTCCAACATATGAGCCAAAGGGGCAACCAGTCCACGCAGTGTGCGCACATGTGGATGGGGGTGAGCAGAGGAGGAGGAGGAGGAATAGCAAATGTGACATGTTTAAATCAAACAGTTGAATGACAAGTCCAAAAAAAGAGAAACACACACATGAGATCATTTCCAAAGGTTAAAAGAAATAACAAAACAACGAATGCCCCAGTTCACTTCGCAAAAACCTATAAAACTGGCACCCCATGGAGAACCACTAAAACATGGCATCTGTTTTTTAAAGAAAAAAAAAAAAAATGTGGACCATCAGGCCAACCAAAACAACAAGTTTCTCCATTTTGTCTGCAGCAATCAACTTACAGGCTTCAACCTGTACTCTTGTGACATTTGTCTACCTGCAAGGGATTATCCTTGTGAACCGAGAAAACAGTATAGATATATGTGGAGGACTGCCCTTATTTCCACCCCCCTCAAAGTGTGCACATAGTTTTCCAGGCTTATCTCTTATGCTAGCCAATCTTACTTTCGTGTATTTTACATTTAAAATGTACTTTGGTAGGATCCTTGCTTTCTCTAGCTTTCAGGGGAAGAAAGTACCTGTATAAGCCAATTGGAAGATAAGTTTGAGCAGGGGCATTCCTGAGTACCAGTTCCCATGTTTCCAGTTCACTGTTGTATGAAATTTGTGTGGGTCAGGCCTGACTCTAGAATGAGCATGTCTTCCAATAAGGAAGTCTGCCATCTTACAAATGCTGCTGAGCCTGGGAGCTAAACACTGGCAAAACACACCTAGGTCAGCACCGCGGTTGAGAGGGCTTCTATGGGCATTTGTGTAGCCCGTTTGCCCTGGCAAGGCTCTACACCCAAGAAGACAGGCGTTGTGATCATGCCTCTGAGCTGACAGTTCTTTGTATGCAAAGACGAAGCCAGAGAGATACTGAGAGGGAGCAGTTCTCAGCTTGCCCTGAACCATCCTCCCTCCTGAGCAGATAGATGCCATGGTTCTGGACAGTTCTCCTGCACAGGGAATGGCTCAGAAGGAGACACTGCCTTTCTCTTCACTATTAGGCTTGATCCCAATAATTCACTAAGGTGGCACTCAGTCATATATTATTTTCTGTTGTAGAAAAAGTTGAAGAAGTGATTTGAGGAAAACTGATTTACTTGAGGATTAAAGACAGCCCAATGGCATACTGATGCAGGTTAACGCTCACCCTTCTCAAGTGCTTTCAAGCTTTGTTTGAGTGTCATTTCTAATTAAGGTTTAAATGGAGAAACTATCATTTTGTAGTTACCTGAGATTGTTCAGTTCTTAAATAAATAAATAAACCAAACACATTTAAAAAAATTCCCCCCAAGTAACCAGCAGTCAGTCTGATCATTATGGAAGAGAATTTAGAAGGTAACACATTTGCATTCAGAAGGAAAACAGCCAATTACACTTAATGAAGCTTGTCAGACCTCTTCCATTTGGAAAGGTTTAGTGCACTTAGACGTTCAATTTCTACACTCACACATCAGTCTCTGATTTGGGAATTTGGCTTCACCACTCTAAATATAAGATGAAGAGCCTAAATTCTGGGTTCCATAACTTTTCATCTGACAGCTGGTGGTGCCAAACCCCATCCCCAATTACCTAGGTCATCTTTAAGGTCAATGTCAGCATTGGTAGGATTGATTATGGCCTCCACCTCAAAGCCGGCTAAATTACTGATTTCACTGTGAATAAGGTTCAGCTGAAAAGAAAAGCATGAGGTGGGAAATAACAGGACAGCTGGGAAGTCACAGAGAAGTGAGCCTTGGGGTACAGATGAAGGGCAGTGGATATTCAAAATGCAGTGGGCACAAAAAGGGACATGGAGGCACTGGCTAAAATGAGTCTATTGCAAACCTAAGACTCAAATGTCACTCAGGATGCTGCACGGAAAAAAACTAGGTTGAGGGTTCAGAACCTGTGGGGTGATGCTTGGGATAAAAGAGAGGTGTAAGTCACGCTGGGCCTGAAGGTCCACTTCCCTTTAAAGGCACCTGTGATCTGGGAGCCAAACTAAGGCACCAATCAAGACCCAGAATCAAAATGCACCCTGCTGAGGCTGGGATGGTATGTGTCCTTTCCCTCAAGCACTAGGATGGTGCAGAAGTCACACATGGTTTGGGTAAAACCCTAGTGACTGTGCCATTGTCCTCTGAGTGGCTGTGAATCTTTAAGGGTGACCTCATCACTGTGACTACTGGCTGGCTGGCTGGCTCCCCTGCCCTGCTCAAGGAGCTAGAATGTTCTACTACTTAGAAATATCTCATTTTACATGCCCATTAGTTATGTAATGCTGAAAGTGGTAAAACTCAGGGAGAGAAAAAGCAGTTCTCACTAGCAAAACAATGTGCCTCTTAAGCTGTTTTCATCTTGTTACTGAGGTTATTCTGAGGCCCAATGGACAGCTTATCGATCCTTTTCCTTGAGTGAGCTTTGTCTACTCAACCAACTGGCTCCTTCTGAAGAGCCACTAAACGAACTTCCTCCCCATTTTCTTTTCATTCTGTTGCCAGAGCAATCCTTGGCACCTGCGTATGAGAGAAATCCCAAGTTCTCGACTCTCCTGTCAGAGGAGTCCTTCTTTCTCCCTTCTGTTTTTGGCTATAAGTGCCCAAAGCAAAGCTCTGTCTCTCTCTCTTTTAATGAAGATGTTCATTCTTCAGTGACACAAATTCCTAACAGCTGCAGCAAAGAGAAATGTCTAAGCAGCAGACTGTGATCCAGGCTGGAGAGTTGACTGTGGCCGCCCACAGGGCCCAGCAGGGGTAGGAGCCTTTGCCCTCAGCAATTAGGCTGAGGAGAGGTCTGTGTGCAAACAGTTGGCAGGGAGGCTCTTGGCAACTGAGCTCCAAGTTGCTGAATTTCTGGGGCCAAAAATTTTGTTCAAAACAAAACCAAACAAAAAACTTGACACTCCATAAGCATCAGTAATATAAACCCACATTTCTGATTCCCAGAAGCTGTGAATAGATTCTTTAAAAAGGAACATGCTTAGACTAAAAGTCATCCTTTGTGAGAAAGGAGTTGTGGAAATAAATTAGCGATATGGCTGGGCAAGGACTCTGGTCAGGCCTTGACATGGGGTGGCTGGTGGGCCTTTTCCACCCCTTGGACCTTCTGGGTTATTGTCGCCAGCACCACGGGGTCCTCTCACAGAGCCACAGAAAGGCAGGCAGCAGGGCTAGGCGACTGCTGCCCTGGGGGGGGGGGGCACACACAGACTGGAGTGGTCACGGGGTAAGGGAAGTGAACAATCAGGATTCAGAACAAGGTAGAGGATTTTATTATATCATTTAAGTATTGCATTTGAATCCAGACAAATGCTGCTTTAAGAAACTCATATTAAGCCAATATTCCCTACTCCACCAAAACAAAACTAAACTCTACACAGTGTGAGAGGCAGGAGGTTGATGAGGGAGAAAGGTGAAGGAGAAAAAAAGGAAAGAAATATTTCCCTCGGTGTAGCACGGATGAATAGTCTTAAGACATCTATCAGATTCCTTTTTTGTTTTAAAACCACGTGTTCAAATCCATAAAATTCACATTATTTTTTTCAACTGTATAAGTGCTTCAGAATTTCTACTCATAAATGCCTCAACAGAAAATCTGCAGTATTCACGGGGTCCAATTCAACTAGCCAAGGAAACCACCAGTAGCCTGTCTCTGACTCTGTCTTGGGGAGAACGACTACTTCTGTTTAGGGGAATGGATCCTCTAGGGAAACTGGTGTTCCACGGCTTTGCTGAAGGGAGACAGCTGTAGCAAACAGAACTCAAGTTCCTTGGAGACTCCCCAGTTCACTCTGGACTCATCTGCCCTCCCTTCAGACCAGAGGCAGCTGGCTTGTGGAAGCATGGAATACTGTACCTCCAGGAGCAATGACTACACAACATTGAAAACGTCCAGCTAACCAAGTGCTATTAACTCTCTCACATCTTGAGGACGAGGCTAGAGTCATGATCTTCCAACTAATCTTTGCTGTGTGCCAGGGCTCAGCATAAGTCCTCCGGGTGTGGCAGCTAAGCCTCAAAACAGTTCTGCTATTAAATAAAAATGTACAAATATGTACTTTTAAAAATCCACTGGAGTGTGTGCTGGGGGTGGGGTGGGTCTGTGTGGGGAGTGGTGTGGAGGAGATTGAGGCAAATTGATTCAGGTACCCTGAGAAGATAAATGGGTAACGAACTTGGCCTAGGCCAACAGTGAGATGTGCTCCCCTGAACAAGAGAAGAAAACCCATGAATACCAGAGGGTGCAAGAGGGAAAAGGATCCAACTTCCCCCTTGGTCACAAATGAAGAGGCCCAATCCTAGGAGGTCCCAGGGCCCCTCCTACCACACAGGTCAAATTCAACTGGGCCTTTCAGCCAAAGGGTCATATGGCTGTCTGAGCTCACAGCAAGCAATTATACTTGTGGGCTGGGAAATCAGATTTCTGGGAACTGAAAATTGCCAGGAATAGCTTGATTTGGAAGGAAGGAGGAGGGTCGTTAATTATTTCAGAATCTGAACAAGGTGTTTACTACTTTGTTCCATCATTGGGAAAGATGGAAAACCACAAGTTTTAAACCACAGCATGGAGGATTAGTTGTAAGTATCATTGGCCACTAGAGAAAGTGACCAAAGGGTACTGCCAGTTATAAAGCAGGAGGGGTCCCAGATGGCTGCCAGACTGGGAGAAAGGGACTTTGCTGAACAACCTGAAAGATCTCTTCAGCACTGGGATTTGATTATTCTAATCTCAGTTGGTTGTGCTATAGCCAGCCTCTGATGTCCACAGTACCCAAGTCTTCCCTATAGTGGTCATGCCCACACTGATTTTTGTTCTCTGTCATCATGCACACTCTATTTGAGTATACGCTCTTTGAAGGCACAGAGTGTGTTGCCCTGAGTGCCACATAATGCCTAACACAGTGCTAGGGTTTCTGTAGGAACACATAATTGGATTTGAATGTCAAACATAATTCTGAAACCATCCCTTCTCCACTGCCTTCCCTTAAAACAGCGCTAATGGAAATGTCAGAGCTCAGGAACAGGGCCTGTGGCCTGGCTTGGATCTGGGCTGGCTCAGAGCCAGCTCAGCCTTGTCTGGAAGGGGGCTGGTGTGTACCATTTAGGGCAGATCAAGAGGTGGTTTGCTGATGATGACAGGGATGGAGCCAATGGCTTAAAGCTATTGGATGGATATCAAGGCTGTCTTGACATAACCTACTTGGCTACGGCAAGTAGTGCAGTCTTTTTTTTTTTTTTTTTTGGCACAATAGGATTAGAAATTCAATTTTAGGAAGTGAAGTGATTGTTAAAGACTATCCTAGTCATATATGGACTCTGGCCTTGTAATTGTCAAATATTGGTGTCTCTCATTCCCTCATAATGGGAAGAGGAAGGAAAACTGGCCAGGCTCATTTCCCTGTGCTAGCTAGTGAAATGCAACTCTTTTCCTGTCTCCAAAGTCTATTTCAACTCAAGGGGCTGGAAAGGGCTATGTCATCCATAGAATTGGTCCTAGTTTCCTCATAGACAACTATGTTTTTCCTGAGGGCCTACTCCTGCTCTCATCTCAGGGACAAAGTGGCTCATTCATTTGTGTTTGCTGCCTGCCCTGTACTTATCCCCAGCCTGAATCCCTCTGGAGGCTTGGGCCTGGCAGTGGGATCTGATGGGTTTCAGGCCAGCCCGTGCCTCACAAAGACACATGTGGGCACTGCCAGGACACCCAGCAACTGAGTCTCTCTTCACAGCCTCATCAGTTTCCTCGACTGTCTCAGAAGCCAATCATCAGCTATCACAGTGGAAAGGGGTGAACAGCCCTTTCTTCCTCCTTGCTGCTTCAAGAACTCTCTCTCTCTCCTTACAGTTTTCCAGTCACTAGGAGAAGAGTGTCTGGATCTGAGGAAGAATGCCCATGGACTCCGCCTTTGCCTTTAATGGCCTACGGGGCTCAGGTGGGAACCTTGATGTGTTTGGGAAATATGCAGACTCACTCACTTCATCCTGAGACTGCCTGCCCAACTGCTGCAACTAACACTGACTGTTAACAATTTACTACCATTTGATACAGATTTATAGAAATGCACACTGAAAGTGTTATTTCTGAATCAAACTATCAGGTTCTAAAACCTCTTTTCAGAGACTGCAAATTGGCTGAAGCACAAAGTAAAAACATTTAGTTGACTCAGATTTACAGCACTAATTTCTTTTTAAAATAATTCAACAATGTGTGTGAATCATAGAATAATGAAAATGATTACTCCTGAGACTTCAGGATGTGAAATACAACATCATTAACAACAACAATTAGGTCCCAGGCTCCTAAGCCCTGGGCCTGTTTTCTCTTCTGAGTAGCTTAGCAACTGTGCTTTACAAGGCTGGAGCAAGCACAGTATCACCTTTCTTCACCCTCAGCTTGCCTGCAATATTCAAGCATTGGTTTCACTGTCACAGATGGAAAAATAAGATTCCTGGAACATGGGGTATCATACAGTCATCATTCTAAAGTACCCTTTTTGAAATATTCCTAAATCCTAGTCAAAACGAATGTCTTTAATAATAACATTTAAAGTGTGCTTTGTGTAAAAGTATGTTTGTGTCTGTTTTATGACTCTTGCGCCTTTTGTACTATATGGTGTGGCTATCACCTGACAGTAATAGCCAATAAAGGGCCAGAAAGTATCATTTCCCAAATAATCCGCTGCAACATAAACACTCACTGTCTCAGGCTTAGGGGCCCAGGGTTCCGGAAAAGACAGCTGGCACCCTCATTTCTAACACTGGTGCCCAGGCTGACATGACATGCGACTTTACCCTGTGAAGCTGCATTTGGGGAGATGTAGTTTACTCTGAAAAGGTATCGGCAGTGCTGAGTTCTAGGTTACCTCTTTTTGGGTTTGTGAGTCTTGGCCCAATTAAGTTGGAAGCACAGTTAACAAGCACAGCAGTCTCAGGGTAGCTTGGTGTGGGAAGAAGGCTGAGTAGTCTGTCCTGCATTCAGCCCCTGTGCGTACAGCTGACCATTTTACACTAGGTTATAGCTCTCCCAATCCTTTCAGATTCTCTCTCCAAAAATCAAGATTTCAAACAAGGAAATTAGTTCCATTGTCAAGCCCACTTCTTTCATTTGCCTTTTATTTCTTAAACAGCATTAGATGGCATGTCCTTAAATTATTATAGAATACCAGTACTTCTCTATGGCTTTATGAGTCCCCCCCCCCCCATACACACACACACTCTGAATGGAGAATAGTATTTGCCAAATTTGCGCTATATGGGATGTTTATTCCTGTGCTACCTGGTTCTGAGGCCTGAAACCAAGTGTACCCAAAATAGAGAAGATGGTGCTGTCTTTGTTGAGGACTGCTGATGTGTGCCTCACTCTGCAGAGGAGTCAGCAAGGCTCGCCTGCATGCAATAGAGCCCAAAGTGACAAGGCACTTAGCCCATTTCTTTCCGAAGAGCAGAGTGACAAGAAGGACTTCTCCACTTGTATATGGGTATCTGTATAGCAGAGTGCTGCAATGCTGGAGGTATGTGAGTTCATTCAGCAGAAGAGGTGTGAGGAATTCTGGTTTCAGGCTGGCGTGGTTGGAAAAAGTAGCAAGATGAACACAGGGAAGGAAGAAGCCAGGGTCTAGGGCTGCCCCCAAGTGAGGGAGGGAAGGAAAAAGAGACGGTAGCTCAAGGAGTTCTACCTGCTTAACAGGCCTCTAAGTCCTGCATGGCGTCTGCATTAAGGATCCAGAACATACTGAAGCTACCTATTCCTCAGTAGCAGGGGTTTTTCACGCTTCAGTTCAAACCAAAGCATTTTGGATGACAAGTCACATTAACTTTCAACATATTATTCAAAGGACATGTGAAGGGGTATGAAACTAGACCCAGGTGGTTGCCTTCACTGCTGAGTTTAAAATTTTTAAATGAATAGCATTTTTTTTAAATAAAATCTTGCAAAGCCCCAGACCTTAAGATGACAACTAGTGCTGCTTTTTTTTTTTTTTTTCTTTTGAAAAATACATACAAAATACAGAGAATGGTTATAAAATGTAAACTGTAATGGTTATTTTCTGGAACACAGAGTCCATCACAGGAATTGCATCATGAGAGACTGAGTGCAATCGGTGACAGGAAAAGGGGAAGGGCTGGGGGGACTTGCAATGACGTGATCGAGAGGACTGTGTCACTGTGATGCAAAAGAAAATCGACAGTGAGGATTTAAAAATGATGCAGCTTCAGAACCAAGTTCTTAGACATTAAAACTAAACACAATTTACATGGAATGTCAAATTCATGCCTTTAACTGTTTAATGTACGATAAAAAAAAAAATTAAGAAAGTTTAATTCCCTCTTTCTCCACCCCCCTTTTTTTTGGTGTTAATAGAGAAATAGTAATTAACTCTCATTCTCAGCTCTTAAAAGCTTTTGCATCATTTTTATTTTCAATAAAAGTGAATCATCTTTTACAAAACCATGGCGTCCTTGCAAAGTTGCATCACTGGGGTGGCTGAAAATATATTGCCCAAAGTTAAAACAAACAAACAGTTGGTTTGAAGAACCGTCTGGTGGCTCAGTGAAGAAACTCCCAGAGTACCCACTTAGTATGTCTAAAAACAACCCCACCCCTGGTCAGGGGGCTCTGCCTTCAGTGCCCATCAAAAAGAGCATGCTGCCTGTTCACTTCCCAGGACAGGGGTTTTGACTTCTGGATGTTTTTCTGGCTGGTGCTAGCTGATGACCACGTTATCCCATGGAAATGGCTCCTTACCCAGTCTATCTCCTGACTCCCCAAAGAAGTCCTGATTCCCTTTTCTTTCCACTATGTCCTCTTCCCTATGTGCCAGAGTCCCCCCTCAGCCTGATGGTCTCCTCAGCACTCCCTCCACAGCCTTCTCTGAGGCCTCTCCTAAGCAACCCCCCCCCACACTCTCTCCCCTCCCACAAGGCCTGGAGTGGCCTTGAGAATCCCCAGGCCTTCCAGTGAAGGTGGCCGGTACCCATCTGCCCCAGGGGTCCCTCAAGAGACTAGAGCCACGTGTTTGCCTACCTTCTGGCCGAGGAAGAGGCTCTTGGTGGAGAGGACAGTGAAGCCGTCGGCAGGCGTGCCCTCGGTCGTGCTGTCGGCGCTGGCTGCCTTGCTGACTTCTCCCTGCTTCTTCTTGCACAAATATAAGAGTCAGTATGTGGCCAAACCGGCAGAGGTTGCTTTTCTAACAAGAAGACAGCTCACGGGCCTTGCCCCTAGTACTGAAGAGCAAACAGGAAACTGAACCATAACCAAGTCTGGTCAGCATTTCTTAAAGTGGGGTCTGCAAACTTATTCTGGGGGTCTAAGAGTTATAGAAGAGTGTTAAATTATATTTTCACCACTTTTTAATCTTTATAAAAACAGCCACTTAAAAATAAAATTTTACTTTTATGTGATAATTTAGAACAAACATTTTCATAAATTCAGACTGAGTAAATGGCTTTTGATTAGGGGCCTTCAATTTCTCTTTTCTTGCTAGAAAGATATTCAAGTTTAAGGTGGGGGGGGGAAGCCCTGTTTTGGGTCATTAGTTTTCAAAAAGCCAAGAAGTAGACAAGGACCACAGGAGCTAAGCCTCTCTCCCTTTCTCTCCTTCTTCTTCATTAAAATCAGTCTTGAAGAAGGATTCAGAAGGTGGCTGTTGGGGAATCCATCTGTCTCCTTGGGAACCACCCCCTCCAGAGGGCACCAATCACAGCATGCTCTTCAGCCCCTTCCTCAGCACCATTTTGTCTGAAGTATAAGTAGCCTGGGGTTCCCAAGGACCTTCCAGGGAGTATGTGGGCATAGAGAGTAATAAAAAATCAATTTCTAGATTCCCAACTTTCTAATGCACTAAAATTTGTCTGTCTTAAAGGTCCCTAGGTGGTGAAATGGTTAAGTACTCAATTGCCAACTTAAAGCCTGGGGGTTTGAACCACCCAGCAGTACCATGGAAGAAAAGGCCTAGCAATCTGCTTCCCTTAAGATTACAGTCAAGAAAATCCTATGGAATAGAGTGGGAGAAAAATGTGAAACAAAACTCAAAATCATTAAAAAAAGGGGGGGGGGCAGGTTTGCTGGTCTGATAGACTCTGGTGGAACCCCTGAGACTATGGCCCCTAGCTGCCCTTCAGGTCTGGAATTGAACCCACTCCTCTGGCTTCCAGACAAACAAGATAGGCATATGAGCTGAACATTTATATTAGGTAGACACACTCCTTGGAGAGATCGATCAGTCATGAGAGAATAGAAGGGCTGTGTATGCATAGGGAGACAGTTCAGGGGGCAGGAGTGGATGGGAGGGAAGGACAGAAGGAAGAGGTGACTATGGGCAGGAAGTGGAAGAGGAGCTATTGCATTGTGGGAAACTGCAGTCAATATCATGAGACAAAGTGTATGTGAACTGCTGTATGGAACATGAATTTGCTCTGTAAACTTTCATCCAAATCACAATAAAAAATTTTAAAGAAAGAAAATCCTATGGAATATCTAAACATCTTGTGGGACTAGGTTACGCGGCTTGAAGGCCAAGGACCATTGTCTCAGGGGATATCAAAGTCAATGGGCATAACATAGGTCATAAAGATCGTAGGTTGTTGAGTAGCCTCCAGGGTCTTAAAAGCTTGCCAGCGGCCATCTAAGATACAACTATAGGTCTCTTCCCATCTGAAGCAAAGGAGTGAAGGAACCAAAGACTTAAGGAAGCAATTACTCCACAAGACGAATGGCCCACATGAACCACAGCCTCCTCTAGCCTGAGACCAGAAGAACTAGATGGTGCCTGGCTACCACTACCTTCTGCTCTGACAGGGACACAGGAGAAGGTTTCAGTTAGAATGGAAGAAAAATGTAGAACAAATCTCAAAATCATAAAAAAGAACAAACCTACTGGACTTATACAGACTGGAGGAACCCCTATCACCCTAAGACACCTTTTTAACCTGGAACTGAAGACACTCTTGGAGGTCAACTTTCAGTCCAGTAATACATTAGCCTATCAAATACACAATAACATCTATGAGGTATGTGCTCCATAGAACAATCAAGGCTATGAGTCCAAATGGGCACTATCTGCCCAAAAGCAAAGATGAGAAGGCAAAGAGGGGCAGGGAAACTGGAGAGATGGAAGTGAGGAAGGCACAGCAGAAACGGGGAGAGTGCTTACTTTGCCAGGATAACAACCAATGTCACAGAACAATTTAGGTATAAATTGTTGAATGGGAAACTAATTTTGTGTATAAACTTTTCCTTAAACACAATAAAATGTTAAAAACAAAACCCTGTGGAGCAGATGTACTCTATAATACATGGGGTCACCCTAAGTTGGAATTGACTCAAAAGCAACTAACAACAGCAACAGTGATCTATGTCCATGGTGACAGCTTCATGCCAGTTTCTCTTTTCAAAAACCTCCCTTCTTTTCCGACTTCCCAGTCTGTAGAATGGTGCACTGACTGCCCTGGGCTTCATTCTTTTCCTTGTCTTCTGTATATTACTGTTAAGGGCAAAGCTTGTATTAGATATGGATAATGTGGCTCATTTTGGGTTTTCTGCATTCAGATACATTGTAGAGTTCGTGTAGTGAGAACAATGGTAATTTTTGTTTAAACACTTCATTTTTTCCCTCTACCAATTATTATCAAAAAGTACATATTCCTGCCATCAGCCATCTAAGATGTAACTGTTGGTCTCTACTTGTCCAGAGCAAAAAAGAAAGAAGAAAACCAAAGACTCAAAGAAGAAACTAGTTTACAAGACAATCTACATGAACCACAGCCTCATCTACCCTGAGACCAGAAAAACTCGCTGGTACCCAGCTATCACTACTGACCATTCTAATCAGGGTCACAATAGATAGATCCTGATAGACTAGGATAAAAACATGGAGCAGAACCTCAAATTACTTAAAGAAAAAAATAAAATAAAAAATCAGACTGATTGGACTGGTTGAGACTAGAGGAATTCCCAAGACAGAGATATTCTTCAAACCTTGAAGCCAAACTAACCTCTGAGATCACCTTATAGCTAAATAACAGATTGGCTCACAAGGTAATGAGTATCACCCACAAGCATTATGCTCCTTTTAAAAAATCACCTGTATGAGATCAAATGGTCAATGATTATTTAAAAACAAAAATGAGAATGTAAGGAGGCAGGGAAACTAGATTAATGGAAATTGAACAACCAGAATGGAAATAGGAGAATAATCAGAGTATGAAGAATGTAGCCAATGTCACTGAAAAATTTTTGTAGAAATTGTTGAATAAAGACCTCAACTGCTATTTAAGCATTCACTGAAAACATAATAAAATACTAATTAAAAGAAAAAAAAAAGTACATCACTCCAGACAAAGGGTACCACAGAAGCAAATCAACAAGTAGGGTAAGAATTAGTAAAGATGGCCGCGCCTTCCTTCATACTGGCCATAAACTCAGGACACAGTCTATGCGCTATTTCTCTTAGCATTCAAATTCATGAATGTATTAGCGTTTTTACTTATATTGAAAAATGAGGTCTAATTTTGCTGACTGCTTTAACTTTAGGACTGCTTTGACAATTAAGTTACACAACTGATATCCTCCATAAATAAATGATTTAAATCTGAAGTTCTAAGGCTTTGATATAAAAGATATGATTTAAAAAAAAAAAACATTTTATCAAGAAATAGTAAACTGGCAAAATATATTAAAATTATTATTTTTAATATTGCCAGTATCTTTAATGTCTCAGATTTAACAAGGTGTCTCTAAGTGAGAAAGGAACAGGTAGAATCAACAATTACATCCTAAGTTTTAGTAAAGCCTTTTTTGATATGTTTCCCAGGAACCAAGACAGGGAAAGTCCGAATAACAAATCCTTTTACAAGTCAGCTGTTTCCAATTCTTTCTTTCAACAAAACTGAAGAAGTACCTAATTGAGTTAGCAGCTGATAGATCATTAAAAAACAGACTGATGGAGTTAATAGCAATGTATCAGTGTCGGTTTCTTAATTGTGACAATTGCACCAGGGTTACATAAGAATCTAACAATCAAGGCAACTGGGTGAGGGATGTTTAAGAATTCTCCGCACTGTTTTTACAACTTTTGTGTAAATCTAAAACTATTCTAAAATAACATTTATTTTAAAAAGGCTAAATTAATGACTAATTGTTGGCATATAACTCAGAAAGAGTTTGGAAGATTGAGTGATGTTCCTGTAACAAAATTCTCCATTTCCATTTACTTAACTTTGTGAACAAGATTTTCCAAGCACTTGTATCTATAAATAGGTAAAAATAGGATGCTGAACCCTGCCTCATTTTAGCAATAAGTAACACTCATTTCAGGATATAGGAGCTAATTGGAAAAAAGTCTATCTCCACCCATCCCATTACAAGATGAATTTCCTTAATTTCACCTTTTCCATAATATGTATAAAAATTTGTAAAGTATTGGTCAACTGATCAAGTGTGTATTATTAATAAATCTGATAATTATCTAATCCTATAGAATCCATAAAGTAGATAGAGGGTCAACAAAAAAGGGGAAGACCCTCAACGAGAGGGACTCACACAGTGGCCGTAACAACGGGCTCAAGCATGGTGGGGACTGTGAGGATGGTGCAGGACTGGGCCATGTTTCATTCAGTTGCACACGGGGTCACGATGTCAGAGCCAACTCTATGGCACCTACCAACAATAACACAGAATCCAAAACATCTAGTGCTTTATGGTCATACATTTTTTTCAAAATAAATTTAAATTTATATACATTTTTTTTATTCCATCAAAACCAAACCAAACTCACTGCCACTGAGTCAATTCCAACTCACAGCCACCCCCCATTGGGTTTCTGAGGTGGTAAATCTTTATCGAAATAGATTGCCCCATCTTCCTTCCTCAAAACAGCTGGTGGGTTTGAACCACAAACCTTCTGATTGGCAGTCAACTGCCTTAGGCACTGCACCACCAGAGCTCCTTCTTTTTACTGCAGGGATCAATAAAATGTTATAAACATAAAAATGTATTATATTAGGATGAAATTTGGGGAAGCACGTGAAAGGGAAATAAGGGCTTGAGAAAGAAAAAAAATGTATATTTTCCAACTGTTACAAAAAAGCTTGTTTGTGTATTTTTTTAAATGGATGATAGTATATCAAATCAGCACA